AGGAGTGACTCACAATTCACTTCTGTTAGAACCAAAATCTTTATAGTACTCACAAAGCTGCAAAGAATTAAATTAGAATATTCTAGGATTTAATAACCAGAGAGAGATTACTGTAAATTTAGCTGCATGGAGACCTTGGCTCTAGGTTCTGGGAAAACACAAAGACGTAGGTCCTGTTTCTGTCTCTGAATGGGGGAAACAAGAATTTACCTAACTCAGCTTCAGGTTAAACTATTACTGCTGCCTTAAGGGAGAGGTTAATACAGTGGGTGGGAGCCAGAGCAGGGAATGATGGACAGGGTGGGTGAAAGCCATAAAGAAGAAATGATATTTGAGTTGGACTTTAAAGAGGATCAAAGATTCCTTCAGCTGAAGAAAATTTCCATGATGTTAGAAAGTTAAAAAAAAAAGCAAAAGAGTAAATATGGTGATGTATTCCAACTTTGCATTCTGAAATGTTGTTTCTTGATTTTCCATGACAAATGGTGTGTGCGTGTTTCCAACATTTTAATGTGAAAAAATGTTGAACATTCATAAAAGTTTAAATAATTTTATAGCAATCATCCATTTATCTATCACCTAGATTCTACGTTATGCTACATTTATTACATATATGAAACAAGCATAATAAAATGTTCTTCTCTCCATCTGCCAGTCCATCTTCTTTCATTCTTACTTCCATGTAAATTGCAGACATCAGGACACTTCCCCTTTAAAAACTTTAGATGCATATCATCAACTAGAGTTCAATATTTGTCTATGGTTTTTTCTTTCTATGTAAAATGTACATACAGTGAAATGCACAAATCTCAAGTGTACATTCCCTGAGTTTTGACAAATGCATAGATTCATGTAACCAAAACTCCTATAAGATAGAGATCATTCATTCCCATCACTCCTGGAAAGTTCCTTCAGGAGAGGTGTTTTTGAAATTTATGTGTGTACAGATCCCAGACACGGTAAACAAATGGAGTGATCAGAGATAGACAGAATTAAGCTGGGAAAAGAAAAAGTTTTTTTTTTTGAAGACTTATTTCATTTACTTGAGAGAGGGAACGTGATCACAGAGGGAGAGGGAGAAGCAGACTTGCGCCGAGCAGGGAGCCCGATGCAGGGCTCGATCCCAGGACCCTGGGATCAGGACCTGAACCGAAGGCAGATGCTTAACTGACTGAGCCACCCAGGCGCCCAGAAGAAATTTCGAAGGGCAGAAGAATTAGGAGATGGGCCCTGAGGAGTTGCTATTGACTGATCAGATTAGCCGGTTAGCTTGGTTAGACTCTAGCTGAGCCAAAGGTATGGGACACTAAGCAAAACATTACTGTGCTCAAATCCTATTCAATATACACATACTGAAGTTGTTTTTTTAAATGAAATTTTTTTTT